CCCTGCCTTTTCCCAGGCCCCCCTTGGGTCCGATGGAGTCATCACGTACAGTATATCTCCTTTGTCCCCTACTGCCCCCTCATCGGTGACTGATGTAGTAGCTCTTGGTGTCATGGCTGTACTGTCCATTGGTTCTTTAGGCTGCTTCAGACTCTTTAGTTCTTCTACTAAGCTCTGTATCTTAGCTTCAGCTGCTGTGATTTGTAATTCCCATTTCCTGCTCTCATCAGCTATTTTCTCTCCCATTTTCTTGCTGATCTCTTCCAGCCTCCTCCCCCGCTCCTCTCTTCGTGTGAGCTCTGCCTCCCAGTCCTCTCTCCCAGGTCCACCATACCTCTGGTTCTCCGTCCAGGTTTTTGGTGGCCCATGTTTCTTTTTTACAGAAGGAAGAGCTTATGCCAAGAGTGCTGTGGAGGTGGGTGTTTGTTGTGGGGAGGGAGGGGGGGGTGTTTGTTGTGGGGAGAAGGGAGGAAGAGACAGGGAGGGGAAAAAGATAGTGAGCTGGAGGGGGGACAGCAGCAGGATCAAGAGAGATGGGGGGGGGAAGACTAAAGGGGACAGGTGAAAGAGCAATGGGGAGGGAGGAAGAGGATGTGAGGGGGGGGAGATAGAGGAGGTATAGGAGAAGGATGATAGAGACAGTGTGTGTGTGTCCGTGTGTGTTAGTTACCATTTTGTCCTAGACACTAGGCCTGTTGTATATGAGTACGTGTGTGTGTGTGGTGTGTTGTGTGTGTGTGGTGTGTGTGTGTGGTGTGTGTGTGTGTGTGTGTGTGTGTGTGTGTGTGTGTGTGTGTGTTAGTGTGTGTGTGTTAGTGTGTGTGTGTAGTGTGTGTGTGGTAGTGTGTGTGGGTAGTGTGTGTGTGGTAGTGTGTGTGTGGTGTGTGTGTGTGTGGTAGTGTGTGTGTGGTAGTGTGTGTGTGGTAGTGTTGTGTGTAGTGTGTGTGTGTGTGTGTGGTAGTGTGTGTGTGGTAGTGTGTGTGTGGTAGTGTGTGTTGTGGTAGTGTGTGTGTGGTAGTGTGTGTGTGGTAGTGTGTGTGTGGTAGTGTGTGTGTGGTAGTGTGTGTGTGGTAGTGTGTGTGTGGTAGTGTGTGTGTGGTAGTGTGTGTGTGGTAGTGTGTGTGTGGTAGTGTGTGTGTGGTAGTGTGTGTGTGGTAGTGTGTGTGTGGTAGTGTGTGTGTGGTAGTGTGTGTGTGGTAGTGTGTGTGTGGTAGTGTGTGGTTGTGTGTGGTAGTGTGTGTGTGGTAGTGTGTGTGTGGTAGTGTGTGTGGTAGTGTGTGTGTGGTAGTGTGTGTGTGGTAGTGTGTGTGTGGTAGTGTGTGTGTGGTAGTGTGTGTGTGGTAGTGTGTGTGTGGTAGGTGGTTGTAGTGTGTGTGTGGTAGTGTGTGTGTGGTAGTGTGTGTGTGGTAGTGTGTGTGGTAGTGTGTGTGGTAGTGTGTGTGGTAGTGTGTGTGGTAGTGTGTGTGGGTAGTGTGTGTGGCAGTGTGTGTGGCAGTGTGTGTGTGTGTGGTGTGTGTGTACTCATCTAGTTGTACTCACCTAGTTGAGGTTGCAGGGGTTGAGTCCAAGCTCCTGGCCCCGCCTCTTCACTGGTCGCTACTAGGTCACTCTCCCTGAACCATGAGCTTTATCGTACCTCTGCTTAAAGCTATGTATGGATCCTGCCTCCACTACATCGCTTCCCAAACTATTCCACTTCCTGACTACTCTGTGGCTGAAGAAATACTTCCTAACATCCCTTTGATTCATCTGTGTCTTCAGCTTCCAACTGTGTCCCCGTGTTGCTGTGTCCAGTCTCTGGAACATCCTGTCTTTGTCCACCTGGTCAATTCCTCTCAGTATTTTGTAAGTCGTTTTCATGTCCCCCCTATCTCTCCTGTCCTCCAGTGTCGTCAGGTTGATTTCCCTTAACCTCTCCTCATAGGACATACCTCTTAACTCTGGGACTAGTCTTGTTGCAAACCTTTGCAGTTTCTCTCGTTTCTTTACATGCTTGGCTAGGTGTGGGTTCCAAACTGGTGCCGCATACTCTAATATGGGCCTAACGTACACGGTGTACAGGGTCCTGAACGATTCCTTATTAAGATGTCGGAATGCTGTTCTGAGGTTTGCCAGGCGCCCATATGCTGCGGCAGTTATTTGGTTGATGTGCGCTTCAGGAGATGTGCCTGGTGTTATACTCACCCCAAGATCTTTTTCCTTGAGTGATGTTTGTAGTCTTTGGCCCCCTAGACTGTACTCCGTCTGCGGTCTTCTTTGCCCTTCCCCAATCCTCATGACTTTGCACTTGGGGATTGAAATCCAGGTGCTAGTTGCTGGACCAGGTCTGCGCCTGTCCAGATCCTTTGTAGTTCTCCCGGGACTCGATCGAATGAATCTTTCGTCAACTTCACGTCTCTGCAAACAGGGACCATCTCGGAGTTTATGCTTTGTCATGTCGTTCACAAATACCAGAAATCAGCCTGGTCCTTTAGGACTGACTTGTGGGACCGCTGGTCCCCAGGTGACCCACTCTGACACCTTGCCCACATACCCATTACTCGCTGCTGTTTCCTGACAAGTATTCTGGACCATTGCAGTGCCTTCCCTTTATCCTGCTTGGTCCTCGAGTTTTTGCACCAATCTCTTGTGGAACTGTCAAACGCCTTCTGTCAGTCCAAGAATATGCAATCACACCCACCCTGTGTGGTGTGTGGTAGTGTGTGTGTGTGTGTGTGTGTGTGTGTGTGTGACAGTGTGTATGGTGTGTGTTTGTTAGTTACCATTTTGTCCATTTTGTGTCCTGGCACATGTCGATTAGACACTGCCTGTTGTATATGGTATGTGTGTGTTGTGTGTGTGTGTGTGTGTGTGTGTGTGTGTATGTGTTGTGTGTTTGTGTGTATGTGTTGTGGTGTGTGTGTGTTGTGTGTTGTGTGTGTGTGTGTGTGTGTGTGTGTGTGTGTGTGTGTGTGTGTGTGTGTGTTTGTGTGTGTTTTTCCGTCCGTCCGTCCGGCTGTCTCTGTCTACCTGTATCTGTCTGTCTGCTCTTCCTTACCCTACCTGCCCAGTGTTGCCTTGTCTGCTGTGGTCTGCCTGCTTGCATGTCTTCAATGGAAAGATGGACAAGTTGGTGGGTTGGGATGAGGAAGGGTAGGAGTGAGGGAGGGGGACCACATGCATACCAGTTGTGGACTAGGAGACCACAACCAAAGTGTAATTATTAAATCTACAATTCTTTAGCAATCTACCTGCCTGCCTTTTCCCTATAACAGTACACCACCACTACCGTTGACACCACTGATTCCCCCTTAACACCATTACCACCATCACCAACACCCATGACACCACTACCACTGACACTATATAAAGCCTTGTTAAATAACCAATAAATATGTTTTTTTTTTTTCAACAAGTTGGCCATCTCCCAACGAGGCAAGGTGACCCAAAAAGAAAGAAAATCCCCAAAAAGAAAATACTTTCAACATCATTCAACACTTTCACCTCACTCACTCATAATCACTGTCTTTGCAGAGGTACTCAGATACGACAGTTTAGAAGTCCCTCCAAACTGTTAATACCCCAAACCTTGTCCTTTAATCCTTACACTGTCCAAACATAGATCTATGTTTGCGCGCGTAGCACTCCGACCTTAAACTGTCCAAACGTAGATCCGCGTTTGGAGCTCTAAATGAGCGAACATAGATCTCCGTTTGGGCAGTTAAAGGGTTGAAATGCTGGCATTGTACTTCCCATTTCCAGGACTCAAGTCTGGCTAACCGGTTTCCCTAAATCTCTTCGCTAAATAATATGTAAATATACTATACATATGCATAACCCTTAAACTGTCCAAACGCAGATTTATGTTTGTGTGTATAGCGCTTTGAACGTAGATCTACGTTTTTTTACATAAGAAACAATGTAAAATAGAACATAGATCTACGTTTGGACAGTTTAAGGGTTAATGAAGGAGTATATACATTTTAGTACAGGTACAAAGGATCACAAGGAAAGCTTATAATCAAACATCAGTTTAGACAAATTTGTAGCAAATTCTAAAATAGTCATAACTTTAAATACAGTGCAAGTGGAGACATGTCTTTTAAGTAATTTACACATTTTTTTTTTTTTTTTCAACAAGTCGGCCGTCTCCCACCGAGGCAGGGTGACCCAAAAAAGAAAGAAAATCCCCAAAAAGAAAATACTTTCATCATCATTCAACACTTTCACCACACTCGCACATTATCACTGTTTTTGCAGAGGTGCTCAGAATACAACAGTCTAGAAGCATACACATATAAAGATACACAACATATCCCTCCAAACTGCCAATATCCCAAACCCCTCCTTTAAAGTGCAGGCATTGTACTTCCCATTTCCAGGACTCAAGTCCGACTATATGAAAATAACCGGTTTCCCTGAATCCCTTCACTAAATATTACACATAACACTATATAATCATCCATCAGAGTAAAACATTGATGTTAAATGTTTAAGTTTCTACTGTCCAACCAAAAGCAGTTTTGTTTAACTGCTTTTGTCTTGAGTCAGGAATCTGTTCATGCTTTTAAATCTCAGATGAAAGTCCATCTCTTTTCTAGAGCTTACACTCCTGGTAATCATATTATCACTCTTAAAGAACAACTTTAGTGTTCTTTTTACCTGTACTGTTCTATTTAAGGTTAGGTGTGAGAGCTCTTGCTAATATCTTGAAAGAGCATGCACTCAAGAATAATAAAATCCCACATTATTGTTGTTACTGTTAAAGACTAGATAAAAATACTTCAGTTTCAATGGATATCATACAGAAATTTATTATAAAATACTGACTTATTTTTTAAACTAATGGCCATTGCCCACCAAGGAAGGATGATGCAAGTAAGAAATAAGTAGCTACACATTACACCACTTAATCATTTTAATACATACTATAAGCAGTTGTAAATAATAAATTCATACCACAAAAATTGATGGTCAATATCTATGAATACAAAGATTAATAAGCAGAAATATTCTCATACCTCTTTCTTTCCAGGTAATACTGGCCCAACAAGTGAACTGACAATCTTGTCCTCATCTTTGTATATGGAGTGTGCTTCAAGCTCTGCATGAAGTGTGTCTGTCATTTTTTGAGCAACTGCAGATGCTGGATTGAGTTGATTTCCCAGCAATAATGTATTGGCACCAACACCATTGGTTATGACTGACGGAAGAGACCTGAAACAAGAGTAGGCACATAATTGTATTATATTACATATGGTCTTTTAAAGTATACAATACAGTGAAATGTATTAGCAAGGCTTAACCTCCTTCAAATACTTTCATCATGTCTTTTTCCTCCATACCAACAAGCTTTCATTATCATGTTACTGTGCTTCCAGCTTATTTTCTTTTTAAAAGAGTAACAGTAATGTTCAGGTTGCCTACTCGTTACTTCTTGTACCAGGAAAAGAATTTAAAAGACCAGATGATAATTCCACTGATACTTTTTTAAAGGAGTAGGGAGAAAAGTTGTGAGGAAAAACCAAGGACAGTAGTTACTTCAACAGAAACACTCCAGAAGACAAATACTAGACAGTATAGCATTCTATTCTGAGATAAAAGGTGTAATTTAAATTAATCTGAAGCTTCCTATAGCAGCACAAAAACAATTTCATTCTCTCCCTTGGTTTTATACACTCACTACAATACCTCTCATGATCATTACAAGCCGTTTTGAAAAAAGTTCTAAATTTTCTAGTACCGTTGCACCTCTCTTAGGTTCTATCCACTGTATTCTATATAAACCCACTGCTTATATCTTATTAAACTGCTTGTATCCTATTGGTTAATTTGTACAGTTGAGGAAATGCTCATTTGAATAAGAAGGAATAAAGCAATCTGATTTCTACTAAATCTCCTTATGCCTGGCTAAATCTCTCATAGCGCTGAAAAACTTGAATGCGAGTCAATCAAATACTTCCAAAAAAATTATTACATCTATTTCACTGTCTATAATAAAAACACAATCATTAGATTTCATCATTCATATTCATCTTGACCAATGAATCCAAAGATTCTTTAACATGTTACTCTCTTTCTGGTAACATACTATCCTTAATGAAATGATAATAAAGACTACTACTCTTCAGATACAATATTTTACATGCCTTCACATGTTAAACTGCCATTAGTCACAGTAAGCATTAAACGTGTGTGGTCACACATTTGCTACCATTAAAGAAAAAGAGGCAGAAGTGTAAGGGCAAGCAAAAAGTTAAATAAGTCCATTAGAAAGTCAGAGAGAAGGGCAGAGTAAGCAAGTCAAGGTGATGAAGGAGAGAAAGTCAGCAGTATGTTAAGTTGGGAATTTCATCAAAAATGTTAGACTATAAGAATGACCTGAATACTTTCATGGAGTGGCACTGAGTACTTTTACATTAGACAGTCTTATGCAAGACTAATCTGCATGTTCTTTAACCCTTTGGGGGTCACCAGGCCCTCTCAAGGACTTGTTCTCAGGGTCGCCAAAATTTCAAAAAAGAAAAAAAAATTTTTTTCTTATGAAAAGATAGAGAATCTTTTCCCGATCATAATGACACCAAAAGTATGAAATTTGATGGAAAACTTACGGAATTATGCTCTTGTGAAGTTAGCGGTCTCGGCGATGTTTGCACATCGGCGATTTTGCCCACTTTGAGCCCTATTTTCAGCCAATTACAGTGTACTAGTCGACAAAAATCATAAATATTTCACTAGAACTCCGGTTTTTCTATCGAATGAGTAAAAGAAACCACCCATTTACTGATTTCAACTATCCAGTAAAGTGGTCAGAATTTAGCAATTTTGCCAATTTCACACAAATTTCAAAAGATGCCAATTTCCAAATAAGGTCCAGAATAAACAAAGACATTACAGGCACTAAAATAACATTTCCTCTGTTCATTAGTCACGTCCCCATGCCCCTCTTACATTTCTTTTGCTTTCCATTTTGATTTTTTCTCACAAAAAAAAAAATAAGACTTACTGTTATGCAGACTACTGAATTAGTGTAGAAATGGTATAAATAATATCAGCACACTTGTGAAAGAATATTAGACTCACCAGTTGACGTGTATTGGACGCTTAGCATTTGTTTACTTTTGAACTTGGGTAAAAATCAAACATTTCTGCTACTTTGAGCTCAATTTCAAGGTACTTTTCATTGTAAAACCAGTCAAAATCATCTCAATTTCTGTAATATGTCTTCCATTCTATACAATGAGACCAGGAAAACTAGAATACAACAATAAATACCATACGAAAATACAGTGCAAAGTCTCTGTTTTAAACCAAAAACACGGTCAAAGTTTTTTTTTCTCATTACTCACTGTGTGCTGCAGGATTTTTTTTATACTGCGCACACTGACCCATTCTTTCATATGTAGGCCTATCAGCTTTCTCTTGCTAGATTTGAGGGTGCTAGAATTTATGCGTACTAGTACGTCAAAAACCCTGGTGCGTCAGCCGTACTAGTACGGCCGAAACCCCGAAAGGGTTAATTCAGAACACTCCAACCTCTTATAAGCAGTTACCCTTTTCCAACATCACCTTAGACTGACTCAATTCTTGTGAGGTCATTGGCAGCACTGTTACCCACTTGACCGGAGTTAATGCAACAACATGCTTAAAATCGAACTACAATCACAAGTTCTGACCATCCTCTTTTCACTGACAATGAACTCATGACTGAAAACTGAATTTCAGTTAAAAAAAATAAATAAATAATTATTAGCTAGTGTAGTTCAACAACTATCTCACACACTCAGCAAAGCATTACCTTCTAGTGTCTGATAAAGACATCACAGCAAGCACTGTATGCAAAGCACAAAGGGATATGAGGAATCAGAGGTCTAGATAACTTATAGCATTCTGATGAAGTGAACATGGATGACAGAAGTAAGAAGCAAGTATGCAACAATTCTACTGATAAAATGCTAGCATGGACTGAAAGGACATAATGAAGAGAGGAACAAGTACAGTTATTTGTTTCAGTACCATCTGTGATAATTCTTGAAGTTGTACACACGAAGGCCATGGAATGTAACAACAGGCATTCTAGGTAATTCAAATGTGACAAGATATTAGATGCTGCACACAGGATTTCAAGTGTGGATGACCAAAATACCCCAGGTATGAAGAATAATTACAGAGAGGGAAGCTATGTCAACTACTCTTCAGTTTAAATACCACTATAACTAAACAAAAGAGCTAAGATGAGCTCACCAATCAGCACCCAAAAAAAAAAACGAGGCAAAATCTTGCCAATTCAGTGTACTAAGACTCGTGTTATTAATTCATATTAAATTTATGGAAGTCCTAAGCCCATAAGGGTCATACAGTACAATGCCTGGGGAGTGGGGGGTCAATCAGGTTTGATACAAAGATAAGATAACTAAGTCCTTGGATCAAGAATCCATAAACGGTCCAAACGTATATATACGTTTTTTCAACATTTGAAAGTATGTAAAAAAAAGTTTTTTTTTTTTTTTTGTACATTTGAAAACGTGTAAAAAAACTTTGATCTACTTTTTTTTTTTTTTTGTTATATTTGAAAATGTGTAAAAAAACGTAGATCTACTTTTGGAGCACTACACATGTGAACGTAGATCTGCTTGGACCGTTTACGGGTTAAATCCCATCACTGTCGGAACCCCCATCCCCCCAAATTATAAGTGCTGACAATGTCAGTAATTTAAATAAATATTCTGAAATGGTAGAGAAAAACCTACACAATTATGCAGGCAAAAAGTTGGTGGTCTGGGTGAAATTTATGAATGTGATTCCTTTTTTAAGGAAAGTCTACTGCTCAACTGACTAAATTCTTAGCTATTCTGCTAGTATGCCTTCCATTCTATCGACTGAGCATGAGAAACCACCCATTCACTATCAGAACTACCCTAAAAATTGCACAAAAGTCAGTAATTTGGCCAATTTTATACAATTAAAATATAATACCAATTGAAAAATGGAGTCCAAAATAAACACTGCAGGCATTCTGGCCTCTAAAGCAACACTTCTCATGTGTGCTTATGTCCTGAGACCTCTCCTACATTACACTAATCCTCCATTTGGAATCCATTATCACACAGTTTTACACTATTTCTCAGATAATAAGATAAAACCAGGAATGATTGGTCACAGTTAAGGGCATCCCAATAATTGACTCAAACCTAGTGAAATTCCATTAAACAAACCTGGGGGGGAGTGAGGTTCTAACAGTCCTCAGAAAAATCTTCAAAAATAAAATAATTCTGCTACTTTGAGCCTGATTTCAAACTACTTTCAGTCCTGAAACCAACCATAATCATTTCTGTTTCAGTAGTATCTTTCATCCTATTAAATACCAAGAAACAGCCAATAAAACCTTAAATAAGGAAAAAAAGGTACAATACATAATTTGTGTACCATAAAATAAACACAAGGTCAGAGATTTGTTTTCCCCATCAAGCACCATGCAGGGCAGGATTTTTTTATGCTGTGCACACTCATCGCACAAACCCATTCTCTAATGAACAGGCCAAAATTTACCACTCATAGCTTATATGAGGGAGCTGAGATCAAAACGTAAATATATGTTAGCGACACTCGCATCAATAACATGCAAGACACAGTGAAAGAGCTAATTGGGGAGTGAAAGCCTACTTGACCCTTGTCAATAGTCTATACAGACAAAGACAATCACTGACTTGTGACTGGTAACAATGAACTTCCTTTCGGGAAGGTCTACCATGCATGGTAAACACACAACGGTAGCTCTTGCACTTTCTCAGTACCCATGGATTCATTGGTATAGAAAGCCCAAGCCAGTGCAGATCATTGTATCTAAAGAGGATTTAATCCCACCACCATGAAAAGATGACTGGTCATGAATGGCATTTGTGTTAACTACTGTGATGTCTGTTAAAACCTGGTACGTCCAAGTGATCAGGGTCGATGATGCACTGATACACACAATTCACAAATCTTCAAATTTACTGCAAGGAGTAAATTTAAGCCTAGACATAAGAGGAGTCTGCACACTGGGTGTGTAGTATATAAACATTCCAGCCCCACGCTGGGTATGGTGGGGACAGCTAACCTCCTAGCCATTGTTAATCATGACTTTCAGATGCAAATCCTTTACTCCTACCATAATTAACCATTTACTGATAACACTTAAGATCACTAACAGTGAGAATAGTAATTCAGATGTGGAG